ATCTATGTATTTGTGGAAATGAAGACTTTCACAATCTATGTATTTGTGGAAATGAAGACTTTCACAATCTATGTATTTGTGGAAATGAAAACAGCTAACACACAGCTGTTTTTGTATATTGAAGACAGAAATAAATATCACTATGTTATTTAAAGGTGCTGTCATACTGTTCCTTTTAGTGCAGGCTGGAGTAGTAGGAACAGTCTAAATAGGGTTGCTTGAGTTTGAGGGGAGGTATGACATGCCATTGGGTGCAATTCTTGCATCCAAATGGCATACCAACCTCATATGACCCTATTTCCAATATTGTGAAGTGATTAAATGAGCTACTTCAGGACACCGGACAATTTAACACTTACCCTAATCCTATGTGGAGGGTCAGGGGAAGTGAAATTTTCTTTTGGCCCCTACTAGATCATCACTGGTGTGCTGAATCACTTAGATTAAATTAAAAAAATATTTTTCTTTGCTTTGTGCATAGAGCTGATTGAGAAAGTGCCTACAGTTTTCAGTTTCACACAAATGCAAAGAAAAGGGTTTTTTTAAATTTAATCTAAGTGATTTAGTACATCAGCAATGATCAAGCAGAGGCAAAAAATTAATAATTTTACTTCCCCTGACCCTTCACAAAAGAGCAGCAGAAATGTTCAATTTGTTGATATCCTGGCTACTTCATGATACCAGAAATTGACACTGGAAGGAGCCTTGGCCACTTTACAGCTGCAAGGCTTGATTTTGATCCATTCCCAGTGATTGCACATGCTGGTAATGGACCCAACCAAAGCACACCAAACAATATCAAAAGAGTAGAATCCCCTGATACCTGAAACCAATCTGCTCCTGCAGTACACCAAACAGCAGAACAAATGCCCATATGATCAAGTTCTAATTGTGATGAATGGTACATGGTTATGAGGATGTTCCAAACCACTAGGGGGGGGGGGAGTGTTTTCTCTTTTCCCTTTTCTTTTCTCTCTCTCTCTCTTTCTTCTTTTTCTTCCTTTCCCATCTTGGGCGGTATATAAATATAATAAATAAATAATAAAATTTCAACGCTCTAAATACAGTCGTACAGCCACAGGTTAAAACAAATTTACTGAAAACAAAACCTTCAAAGCAATGGACAGATGCTGCTGAAAGTATGTAACAACTAGCTAAATAACATATGGTACCCTGAAAAACTCATGGATATTATTGAATTGATATATCTGAAAGGATAGCAACAATGCAGATCAATGGAGAATGGAAGTCAATAGATCAGTTTGTACCATATTTATTGAAGTACACAATTAATTGATTGGAAATTATTTACAGATTGGATTTCTGATCATACACCATTAACACTGACTGGATTTGTAACTGTATCTTCACATTAAGGCTTGAGGGAGAGAATATTACATGATACCCTGTTTCCTCAAAAATAAGACAGGGTCTTATATTAATTTTTGTTCAAAAAAACACAGTACGGCTTATTTTCAGGGGATGTTTTATTTTTTTTCATCTGCAGCAATCTACAATTATTCAAATATAGTCATGTCATCTTCTGGTTGCTGTACAATGGTGGAGGGCGGGGTTTCACAATTGGGGCTTATTTTTGGGGTAGGGCTTATATTACGAGCATCCTGAAAAAATCATACTAGGGCTTATTTTTCAGGTTAGATCTTTTTTTAGGGGAAACAGGGTATTACTACCTCAGATAAACACTTTGTTTATGCAAATAGTTACTGCAGACATTGATTGCAAGAAGACTTGTAGCCTTAATATTAATTAAGGTCCAAAATAGGCCAAGACCTTTCAAACTAAAAAGGATCAGGCAACAAATTTCAAGCTCACTCTGTGGACTTTTCCTCACTTCTTGATTGAATTGTGAAACAAATCACAGGATCAGGTAGTGGAGCAGAGACTCTGTACACAACAGGAAGAGCTTTGTTTATTTCCCAACTGGATGATTATCTGTATTAATGCACACTAAAACAAAGCAGTGGTGGATTCAATTATTCAAGAAACCTCGTCGTTTAGTTGTTTAGTCGTGTCCGACTCTTCGTGACCCCATGGACCAGAGCACGCCAGGCCCTCCTATCTTCTACTGCCTCCCGGAGTTGTGTCAAATTCATGTTGGTTGCTTCGCAGACACTGTCCAGCCATCTCATCCTCGGTCGTCCCCTTCTCCTCTTGCCATCACACTTTCCCAACATCAGGGTCTTTTCCAGGGAGTCTTTTCTTCTCATTAGATGGCCAAAGTACTGGAGCCTCAGCTTCAGGATCTGTCCTTCCAGTGAGCACTCAGGATTGATTTCCTTCAGAATGGATAGGTTTGTTCTCCTTGCAGTCCAGGGGATTCTCAAGAGCCTCCTCCAGCACCACAATTCAAAGGCATCAATTCTTCGGCGGTCTGCTTTCTTTATGGTCCAGCTCTCACTTCCATACATCACAACAGGAAAAACCATAGCTTTGACTATTCGGACTTTTGTCGGCAAGGTGATGTCTCTGCTTTTCAAGATGCTGTCAAGATTTGTCATCCCTTTCCTCCCAAGAAGAAGGCGAAATAAAATCTGTCACTGCCTCCATATCTTCCCCTTCTATTTCCCAGGAGGTGATGGGACCAGTGGCCATGATCTTAGTTTTTTTGATGTTGAGTTTCAGACCGTTTTTTGCACTCTCCTCTTTCACCCTCATTACAAGGTTCTTTAATTCCTCCTCACTTTCTGCCATCAGAGTGGTGTCATCTGCATATCGGAGGTTGTTGATATTTCTTCCGGCAATCTTAATTCCGGTTTGGGATTCCTCCAGTCCCGCCTTTCGCATGAAGTATTCTGCTTATAAGTTAAATCAGCAGGGGCACAATATACAGCTTTGTCGTACTGCTTTCCCAATTTTGAACCAATCAGTTGTTCCATATCCAGTTCTAACTGTTGCTTCCTGTCCCACGTATAGGTTTCTCAGGAGGTAGATAAGGTGATCAGGCACTCCCATTTCTTTAAGGACTTGCCATAGTTTGCTGTGGTCCACACAGTCAAAGGCTTTTGCGTAGTCAATGAAACAGAAGATATTTTTCTGGAACTCTCTGGCTTTCTCCATAATCCAGCGCATGTTAACAATTTGGTCTCTAATTCCTCTGCCTCTTCGGAATCCAGCTTGTACTTCTGGGAGTTCTCAGTCCACATACTGCTGAAGCCTACCTTGTAGGATTTTGAGCATAACCTTGCTAGCATGTGAAATGGTAGTTGGAGCATTCTCTGGCACTGCCCTTCTTTGGGATTGAGATGTAGACTGATCTTTTCAAGTCCTCTGGGCACTGCAGAGTTTTACAAATTTACTGGTATATTGAATGCAGCACCCGAACAGCGTCATCTTTTAAGATTTTAAATAGTTCCACTAGAATGCCATCACCTCTACTGGCCTTGTTGTTAGAGAAGCTTTCTAAGGCCTAGTTGACTTCACTCTCCAGGATGTCTGGCTCAAGGTCAGCATCCACACTATTTGGGTTGTCCAAGATATCCAAATCTTTCTGATATAATTCCTCTGTGTATTCTTGCCACCTCTGCTTGATGTCTTCTGTTAGGTCCCTCCCATTTTTGTCCTTTATCATGTTCATCTTTGCACAAAATGTTCCTTTAGTATCTCTGATTTTCCTGAACAGATATTTGGTTTTTCCTTTTCTATTCTTTTCATCTATTTCTTTGCATTGTTCATTTAAGAAGGCCCTTTTGTCTCTCCTTTCTATTTTTTGGAAGTCTGCATTCAATTTTCTGTAACTCTCATCGCCAAGAGTGAGGTTCGCAGCTTGGGGATCCATCTGGACCAGGCGCTTACCATGGAATCCCAGGGGGTATCTGTGGTCCGATCAATCTATTTCCATCTGTGGCGGATTGCTATCTAGATGGTGGGTCGCTCACCAGTCTGGTCCATGCGCTCGTAATCTCAAGGTTAGACCACTGTAATGCTCTCTACGTGGGGCTACCTTTGAGATCAATGCAGAAACTCCAAATGGTGCAGAATGCGGTGGCTAGACTTCTTAGTGGGTTGAGGAAACATCATCATATCTCCCCCACTGTGGCCACCTTACATTGGCTGCCCGTTTGCTTCCACATTGATTTCAAAGCTCTAATGCTTACCTATAAAGCCCTAAATGATTTAGGGCCTCAATATCTGACAGAATGCCTCCTCCCACCTAAATCTACTGGTATCATTCCATCTAGCCAGGAAGGGTGGCTGAGGAGCCTAATGCCGAGGGAGGTCCGGAAGGAAAAAAGAAGAAACCGGGCCTTCTCGGCAGTGGCTCCTCGCCTTTGGAATAGCCTCCCTTCTGAGATCCGTATGGCCCCTTTGCTGGGCATCTTCAAAGGCCAACTGAAAACCTGACTATTTAGGCAAGCCTTCCCTCCAGCCACTTCTTGATTTATTTTGCTCTTCCACCTTGTGTTCTTGTTTATTGATGCATTACTTTGTTCCTCTATTTTAAATTGCTTATTTTATAGTTTGTTAGCCGCCCAGAGTAGTCAGTTGACTAAATGGGCGGGGTACAGATTCAATAAATAAATAAATAAAGATCAGTCCTGGATACCAAGGTGGTCCCTCACTCCCCACGTAAGGACACACATTTTCTTCCGTGAAAGCTGAATTGCATCCGTTCACCTCTAACAAGGACCAACAAGTGCGTGAGCACACACACATGGAAAACGCACATGTGTAGCACAACCCGACGCAGCTTTGTCTGATCTCGCCCTGGAAGACTCCCTACGAAAGGGCTCCCTTGCCCGCTCTTCTCCGGGAGTCTCGGCTCCTTCCCCCGCCCCTCCAGAAAGAGACACCCCCCCAAAATCTCGGTTCGTGCTTTGACACCTGGGGGCGGGGCGGGGCGGGGGCGGAGGGACCCGCGAAAACCCCTCCCTCCGTCCGGGCAGCTGTTGCCCTTAAAGCCAGTCAAAAGAGCCGCCTTCTGCGCTTTGTTTTTAAGTCCCGCCCACGCACTGGGCGTCGGGTTGGGATTGGACAAAGGCTTATTGACAGCTTCCTGTGGCTGTGCTAGGTGAACCGTCACGCCTCCCCCTTCTTATCCTGTCCACGCAACCCTATTGTTACACATTCCTAAGAGGAGAGGCAATAAACGAAGCGTAAGAACTCTGCAGCCCGAAGGAGGGGCGGCCCGAAGGAATGGAAGTCGAAAGAGGGCGTTGATGGGTGGCCGGCTTCGTTGGCGTAAACCATTTGGCTTCGTGTGGGGGGGGAAGAAGAGGAGGGGTTCGAAGTTTTCCTTTGGTTTCGCCGCCGCCTGTCAGAAGCCGAGGAAGGAAAGGCGGAAGCACTTTAATTACCCAAGGTGCAACGCGAGCTCCATACGGAAGCGTTCCTTCAGTTTTTTTGTGAGGGGAGGGGGGGCGCGCAGCCGAAAAGGAAGGAAAGGAGGGAGGGAGAGAGAGAGAGAGACGGAGGCGGTGCCGGCGCTTGGTGCTCGGTCCAAGATGGCGGTGCAGGAGTCAGCCGCTCAGCTCTCAATGACTTTGAAGGTGCAGGAGTACCCCACGCTCAAGGTGGGTGCCTACTCCCCCCCACGGAGAGGGCTCTGGCGGCCTTAGGGGCTACGCAACTCTGCCAGGGAGCCGGGGGGGGGTTGACTGAGGGGGGATTTCCTCCTTCCTTAGGGGTGGAAACTGCCTCCGGAAGCGGGGGTTCACGGGGAGGGGAGGGGAGGGGGGCTTCTTTCTTTCCTTCCTTCCCGGGTGAGCGGGTGGCTTTTTTCTCCCCTCGGCGCTGTGTGGGGCGTAACGTCGTGGGAGGCTCCAGGGCCTTGTGAACGACGCTCGACACGGGTCAGGAGCCTCTGAGGCGGTCTAGACGGGGAGCGCTTTCGTGTTTTGTGTCCATGGCCGGGTCTGACTAAGGGCGGAGGGGGGGGAGTCGGGCGGATGGATGCGAACACCGTGAGGTTTTTCCCCCAATCTTTATGGGTATACGTCGAGGAGAGATGCGACGCTGCATGCTGGGTCGGCTGTGTCTTTATCACATAATCTTACAAGTTTAGGAACCCCGTAAAATACGGATGTGCGTTGCTTTTATTTAGATAGCGATAAATATCGAGAGGTGGAGCTTCAGATTGTGTGACGAAGGGATTGTTTCTGTTCCGTACACAACACTGAAATGTTTTCTTTCAAGATTTATGATTCGGTCTGGGCATATAGCCTCCAAAAGTATATCGACATTATAGAGTTGTTTTTTTAAAAGAATTGCTAAAATAAAATTAGAGTGGTAGCTTTGAAACCGGAGATAAACTTATCAGTCAGATTCTATATCTTAAAAATGCTGGGAAAATGCAAGTCTTCTGGCTGGGGAAAGAGGTGGGTGGTGTTCATGTGAATTTACCTAGGAGAGAAGTATCAAAGGGAGGGCACAGTACAGTAGAAAATATCTGAACTTCTTTGATATTGTTTCAGAGCTCAGAGATCTGTAAGGGGTACTGATGAGCTTATTGTGTTGGGAGATTCAAGAGGAAATTTATTGCTTGAAAATGAAGCTAGGTTGTTCAATTGGCTCAGGAAACAAAGTTGAAGCCATTGCAGCTCTTTCAGGACGTAGGCTGTTATTTTCTATATCCCTGATCCAGATTAATAACCCAGTTGTAGGGTCTTTAACAATGGCACTTTGGGGATAGCTTTCAACCCTGATCTTCCCCAGTGAAATGTGGCATGTTTCTAGAATACAGTCATCATGGGTCAAACTGTCCATTTACTAGATTGGGCTGGGACACTAAGCTGTAACCACTTGAGATTGTAGATGGTGCTTTGGGGCTTCTGGAAATAAGCTTGAATTTAGTAGTACTTCTCAACTACCATCCTCATCCTTACAGTTGCATCTAAAATATCTGTGAAGTGGATGTCTTATAGAGACTGAGGTGTAAATCATCCCTTATTCAGATCATTACTGATCCTGCATATGTGTTTATCATTTACACAGCATCACTAGAATTTAATGAAAAGGAGATCTGTCATCATCAGCTCACAAATGCCACTGCATTTCCAAATCCCTAAATGATCTAAGCTAGCACTTTTATGCAAATGAATACCATGGGAATGTTCATGTTTGCCTTCTATTGATGAATAAGTTTTAGTTTTTGTAACCTGAAAATGTGGACAGGACCCTTGCAGAAGTGAAGGCAATCACATGTTTGTTAGATTCTTGCTCTTCCTAGCTTATGAAAGCTGTCAGAGGGGGACTGGCCAAGTGAATAGAAAGAGTGGCGAATGCCCTCCTACAGCCATGGTAGGATCCTAGCATGCTGAAAGGAGGCAGTAGTAAGATCATTGCTGAAAAAGCTCTCTTTAGATTCCATGGTATTTGATAATTGCTGGCCAGTCCTTAGTGTTCTGTTCTTGGGCAAGGTACTGGAGTAGGTTGCGGTTGCACAGTTCCAGATGTTCCTGGATGAGATGGATTATCTAATTGGTTGGGTAACCTATGTCAGGAACTAGACAGGTGAAGTGTGTCCCTGTTAATTCTGCTGGAGCTTTCAGTACCATTGGCCGTGGTATCCTTCTGGGCTGTCTCTCTGGGATGAGACTTGATGGCACTATTTTACAGTGGCCCCTGTCCTTCCTGGAGGGCAGAACTCAAAAGGCGATGCTGAGGTACCCCCGTTTGTCACCCTGGCCATTGGCCTGTGTTATTCCTCAGGATTTTGCTTTGCTTCCCATACTATTTAACATCTACATGAAACCACTGAAAGAAGTTGTCCAAAGTTGTGGAATTCAGTATCACCAATATGCAAATGAGCTCCACTTTATCTTTTCCATCTTAATTCAAGGAAGCACTTTTAGTTCTAGATTGGTGCCTGGTGTCAGTAATGACCTGGATGAAGATGAATAAAGCTTAATCCAGACAAGACACAGATGCTTACAATAGCTCCCCTGGCTATGATCTGTTTCTGGGCAATTCAAAGGGCTGTTTTTGATGTATAAAGCCCTAAATGACTTTGGTTCAAACTGTTTCAAAGACCACTTCTCCCTTTAAGAGCCTGCCTAGGTTTTAAAATGATCAGGGGCAGGCTTTCTCTTGGTCCCACCACCCTGACAGGTGCATTCGGTGGAGACATGGCAAGAGCCCTGTGCCGCTGTTTTCAGACTCTGAAACTCCCTCCCACTAGAGACCAAGGCTGGCCCTATCTTTGCTGTCTGTCCACAAGCAGGCAACGGCCTTTCTCTTCAAGCTGGTTTTCTTTTAATGTCTGGCTGTCTAACAGGACTTTTTTAATTTTGTGTTTTTAATAGTACTGCTTTTATCTGTGAGTTTTTAACATGTTTTAAATGTTTAATTCTTTCTAAATACTATAATGATTTGTTGTTTTTTATCTTGTATACTGTTCATTTTTTAATACTGTAACCTGTCTTGCATTCCTTTTAGGAGAAAGGTGGGATAAAAATAAATAGGAAGGTACCTTCTGGAAACTCATAGTAAAACTACCAAGGTGCAGAGCAGTAGTCATTACTGCCTTCTACAACTGGCAATCCAGGCATGAATGGAATTGTTGTAACATATCCCAAACAGCTGGTACAGAAGGGTTAAATGATGAATATTACAAGGGTTTGGAAGGTTGAGGAAAAGTAGCAGGTTTTTGACTTAGATAGCTGAGTGATGGTTTTAAAAACTTGCAGAAAATTAGCAGGTTTGCACTGTCCTTCATCAGTGTAATCACAGTGAATGAATGAATAGTTTATTTGCAGTTGTTAACCCAATCTTATGTAATCCTAAAAGATATACAGTAATACAGTAAAACCTTATGGAGATATAGTAGTAAAAAGATACACAGTTTACACAATAAAGTGTAATCACAGGGGTTTAAGTGCAAAAAATGACCCCAAAAGGGGACCGAAATAGATTTAGAAAACTGAAAAATTCAAGGGTGCCTGGAGTTACACAACAAATGCCTGTTTAAGTAACTTGCCCCCATAGGTTTTATTTTTTTAAATTATCCTCTAGTTATAAAATTGTGAGGGTAAAGAAGTTTAAAAGAAAAGGCAAGGTTTTAATTTTTTTGAGAAATGTAAGGATGAGTGGTTGTGATTTCCAAATATTACTTCATTTGCCATGTTCTGCATGTCAGTACGTTGAGAAAGGAAGTCCAGAGGCAATCTATTTGTCACTTTTGAACTTAACTGGTTTCAGAGGGGAGAGGAAGTTATTCATTTGCTTGTTGTTTCTTTAAGGATAGCATATAGAAAGCAAGGTACAAACATTTAATAGCAAATATGTGATTTTAAATTTTTTATAATATCAAAACACTTGAGTGTACATCCAGTTACCTTGTGAAACAATGATGACTTCATTCTTCACTTAACTTATGAAATCATAATGAATCAAAGTAACATACATAGAAGGTCTGTCATTGGATTGGGAATAATGTTGTGATTGGTGGTATCAAACATTCAAAGGACTCTTACATTTTATGCACATACACCTATGTGTTGTTACAAGTTGTACTTGGAACTGACTTATAGTGACCCTAAGGGCTTTCAAGGCCAGTGAGATATTTAAGGAGTAGTTTTACCAGTTCCACACCACCAGTGAATTTCCTTAGCTGAGTGGGGGATTTGAACTCAGGCCTCCTGGTTTAAATATTATGCACAAGTGACTGGAAGAAGTAAATCTAATTCCTTTGAACCTTATCAATATTGTTCAACTTTTCAGTGTTTCTCCTTTCCTCCATACTTTTGTTTTTTAGTAAGAGATACAATTATATCTATGTGATGTACTTCTCAACAATGTGAGCTGTTAGTTTTTCTGCATGCAGTAGAAAGAAGACGAGATTTGAAGAAATAAAATGTTTTTATGAGTTTAGTCCTGACCTTTTAGGGTCAGAGAGTGTGGGGTTTAAGTCCTGTTAATCCTGGTAAGATTAACAGGACTTAATCTTAATAACAAGATTAAGTCCTGTTTTTTTAAATACCTTTACATGTTTAAGAGTTTTTTTAAAAAAAGACATGACATTCTTGGTTCAGAATTTTTAGCTGATTTTGCCAGCTCTTGGCCATAATCTTCTTACATATGTTGGCACAAGTCAAAGGGCATAGATTTCAGAGCTGAGTTGTTTTTAGTTGAAAATTTGACATTTGTATTCCTCATCACACTCAAGTTCTGCAACTTGACATGTTGAAGAATGCTAGTATGGATTCCTTAGCTAGTAGCATGAGCTGGTGTATGTACGTAACAGGATTTTGGCCAATAACTGCTTTTACCTGTTGCAGTATTAGAGCTTTGAAAATGATAGGTTTAGGAAACTCGGAGGCAACACTCAGAATAGGAGGGGCAGGGGAGCTGGTCCACTGTCGC